AATATGTCCAAATTTTGAATTAATTCAAAGAAACAAGAAACCAAGAAACCAAAACGAAACTTATAAGGTAACAACAATCCAAAAAGTATGAAAATGGTGTCAATAGCCCTACAGAAATAGAAATAGAAAAATAAGGGGAAAAACAATTAATACACACATATGTACCACAGAGGCACACTCGCAACGGGTATAGATCGGAATTGGCAAACATATAAAAGATTGATATTGGATAGTAGTAGTGAATGTATTCAGTTTAATTTGTGAATTATACGAAGGAGGATAAAGGTTAAAAGTTAATTTAGATTAGACAGGATTGACAAAGCACGTGTGTTAAGACGGGTTATTTTGACAGAATTGGAATAATCCGTTATTGACATTAAATTGCAAATCGATATCATTTAGGTTTTTGCAAACGATCTTAAATCGATTGAAAATCTTCTAATTACATTTACAGCTGGCTGAGTTGTACGAAAATGATATTCCTAGAAAAACAATTAGAAACATGGAAGCTTATCGTTACCCTAGTAATGCCAGGAAGTTAATAGAACCATTATCAGCTTAACTGGGTAAAAAAATCCAAAGAAATATCAAATCTACATTTCTCAAGTGATCTCCCATAAGGCAATCAAAAGCAACCTTTCATCATAAGGAGGAGGCAAAGAGACAACCGAGTCTCCTAACGCGAATTCCTAAGTACAAACGTCAGGAGTTACTTTTGAACGGATTCCATTGAATCTACATAATACTTCTAGTAAAGAAATCACACAGCAGAGGCGCGTTTAAGTAAATTTCATTAAACTTCTCACAAATGGAAAACCATTGTTAATTTTCTCCAGGCAACCCATAAAACGCAAAAATTACAGACGGACAGACATAAAAGCAGGCAGACGAACATATTTAATTGTTTTAAAATTTGATGCTCATCAAGAATATAAATATATGTGCTTACATTATGAAGTCTCTGAAGCTTCCTTCTCGATATTGTAAAAGTTTTAACAAAATCAATATACCTCTCATCCTTCCGCGTTTTTTCAATTTACTCATAAGACTTTCGCATTTTCATATTCAGTGGAAGTGCGCAAAAATTACTATGGTTCCAAAGCCCGGAGGGTCCAGGAAAGCCCTGCGTCTTTTACCTGCGTTTTCCAAAGTATTTGGAAAAATTTTTCTGAAAAAACTGCTTCCAATTCTGGAAGTTGTCATTACGCTGACAATGTACTGACAGCAGCAATTTGAGTTTCGGCGTAATCACGTTACTCCGGAGCAATGCCACTGGATAGTTAAAGCAATTATTTCTTACAATGTTATAATTGCTACCTACGCAAATGATACGACATTATTGGCCTACACACGCTTCAAATATTATCAAGAGGCGATTAAGCATGCGACAGAAAATTAACTTGGAAAAAGCGTATACCGACAAAGCGATGAGAACTAAATATGAAAACAAGAATAATTTACTGCCTTTTAGGACTAAAATCTAAGCTTACTCTCAAGAATAAAGTTTTACCCTATGAAACTATTCTAAAGTGACTACGTATGACGAATGGCATCCGGCTATGAAAGATATCCAGCAACTCTAGCGTAGAAATATTACAGAGATATCAATCTAAGACCTTAAGACTAATCACAAGTACTCCTTGATTGTGAGCAATCACAATTTACATACCAATCTTGATCTATTGAAAGCTAAACAGTAGCAGTAACTACTTAAACAAATTGGGCCCCCACCCTAATATTTTAGCTATATTTTAAATAGTTATGAAGAATGAAAATTGAAAAAAACTCAACATACTCGACCTGCCCTCCATGCAGACACATTGCTGATACTCTTAATGTGTGCTCAATACCTAGAGTCAAAAATTGAATAAATGTATGTAATATTTGTGAAATTCACTGAAATTCACTGTTCTGTTATATTATATTGGTGTTTTCACTTTTTACATGTTACTTTAGATTGCAAATGGAAGCATTTCGAAAAAAATATATATATCAATAGAATGTTTTTATTAAAATCTATTGAAGCATTCAACAAACATAAAATATAAAATTTTCAATATGAGTCGTCTATACATCCAAAGGATGTGTGTTCTTAAAATCACACAGGTGTGCATATGTGGCATATTGAGAAGCACTTAATACAATACAAATTTTCCACATACAAGCAATTATAACGTAAGAACAAGCAGTCAAATGGCTGTTAAGGTAACAGCGGTATGTTGTGTTATTGCGAACAGAAACACAAACGTTCCTCGAGATCGTATTAGCTTTTATTGTGAAACATGTTTTGAGTGCTCCAAGTATTTGGTTCTCTCTATTAGAATACAGACATAACTTCTTTTTTACACGATTTTGAAATAAGACAGTTCACCAAAACATTTCCTTATTACGAAGTTTTTTAGTCTAACGCGAATGCCAAAAGAATCATTTCTTTCTAATTCTAGTTTTGACGGTGTCTTATAGAAACTTATGTAAACAGCAACAGTCAAGAATACACAAAACAAATTTCATTTTAATTTTAGCAGTGCCTTCCGGAAACTTGGATATCAAGGATTATATAAGCAACTTGAGCAACAAAAAAAACACAATGCTTCACAAACCTTATGCCAACAAAAACACTAACAGAAAGAGTCAATAACGGACCGAATTTTTCATCTGAATCAAATCCGACAGTTGTGCAAACATTTTTGATCCAGTTCGCAATAAATGTGCATGCTCGTTGTCTAGTAGCGATGAATAATGGGGGAACTGATTTTCATTCCTAATTTTGATTTCGATTTGTATATATTGTGCATACTTATCAACTGGTAAATCTGAATACAAATGTACAGAGAAATGTGATGAAAAGTGAAAAAAAAACAAGTAAGAAAATTTTAGTCTTCCTTGATTGAATTTTTTATACCCATCACCGTTATTCTAAAAAAGACAAAAGATGTTCTGAAAAAATTGCTCTACAAGTCGGCTCGGCTTACTTTTTCTATTTACAAAATAAAAGTTTTCGTTGCATAGGTGTCTGGGTGTTGCAGGCGTGTCCTCGGAAAATTATAAATCAGACAGTACGTAGACGGACAGACACACAGACAGACTAACGGACATGCTTTAAACGATTTGGAATTTGATTTTGATCAAGAATATACATACTTTGGGTGGTCGTTGATGATTCTTTCTGGACTTTGCACACGTTTTCACAAAATGAATTTACTCCTTATACATCCTTCGGTGATGGATATAAAAAATGTAAAAACTTTTCCTGAATGAATTTTATGCAGTAGGTGTAAAAATTGAATAAGTAATAGAAGAGATATTAGAAATATATAATGCTTCTATAACTTATATATATATATATATAGCCCCGTTAAACTTATATATGATGCTGCCATCAACTTGTAAATACTCTCGGCAACAAGTTGTGTTTAATTGTATTGCAATTTCCTAGAATTTATTGTGGAAGTTCATACCGAAACGGTGAAAATGACAAGATCTGCTCCGATAATGAACAAGATCGGAGGCTTATGGTTGTCGCCGTCGAACGCCCACTCGAGTCAACCATATTTTTCGACAGTGTTGATGTGAGTTCATATTGCTCGGCTGCCGTGTCGAGTCGAATGAAGGATATACATTTAAATAAATGCAAGGAGGAAGAAAGCAAAACAATAATCCAAATCCACTATTTTTAATTTATATATAGGAGCAACTGTGTAGACAAAGTGTCGCGACTAACAGCTCAATGTTCCCAGGTTCAAATCTCAAGTGTAGAATTTTCAATACAGGTGAGCATATAGGCAATAAACAATAAAAATATATTTTTTTAATTATATGTTTATAACCCTCCAATTTTCTTTTTTATGTTGCCCACACATTTTTAAATTGATTTCTGTTATTTTTTTTATATGCATTAATTATATCGAATATATGAACTCACTACTCTCACCGTCGACAGCCACCAACCGTCGATAGCCATAAATCGATCGCTACTCGATCATTAACATAGAGTTGGGTTTACTCAGAGTGTGGAACCCCAACCTACCCCCCAACCAAAAAAGAATTCGAAACTTAACCAAACATAAATTCCTATTTCTTTCCTTTGAAAACATTTTATTAAAATAATTTTATGTATTATCTAATGCAAAATAGCTGGTGTTTATTTTTCTTTAACATTAGAAATTAAGTGACATATGTTTTTTTAAATGAATTCGGTGTAAAACTATCTCCGATTACATTTTTTTCTAAATTTCTTTAACTGTTTATTTTTCCTCTTTTTTTTCTGTTGTTTTTTTTTATAAATTTAAATAAAATATTTGTTATGCCTTATGTAATATTATCATTATATTACTTTGTATTATAGCAATATGTAGGTGAAAAGTAAATATGTTTAGAATTTTTTTTAAATTTAAGGAAAAAAAAACTAAATTAAAATTATAAAAAAGTGAAAAAAAATTATAGAAAAATATATTTATATATAAAAATAAATTAATTATTAATTTAACAAAAAAGTATATTAAAAAACAAATAATCAAGTAAAACGCAAAATATTAAAAAAAAAATTTACGTTTAAGATATGATGCAATTCATCGCAGATGAAATATGTCATGCTACAAATATCTTTCTCTTTTAATGATTTATTTATTTACTTTTTTTTTTTTTTTTTTTTCTTTTACTATTGTATTATTGTAAATGAAGTTTAATGTCGTTGTGTAAGTTAATTTTTTCGCTTAAGAGTTGCCAACGAATGCTCTCTCTATGATGTTAACTATAATTTGTCTCACACTTATCATATGGGTAATATTATGAACGCTCTCTCTATCTCTCTTCCTTTCGATCAATTTTACTCGCTTTCATCTAGCCCTCCGTTTAGGTATCTCTCTTACTTTTTTTTACAGTGCTATGGACGTGTGATCTGATAGTAGTCTATTGTAGGAGAAAGCATATGCCTACAACAAGGGACTATGATAAGTACATTAGGAGTGCATTGTGTTTTTGTATTGTTGTTGTTATTGCTGTTTTTTTTTTTTTTTTGTTTGTTTTTTTTCTTTTAATATATATATAAATATCTCTTTCTCGCCTTTACATTCCTATTATATCGGGTTAAAGTATTATATTAGTCTGCCAATTGTTTTGAGGTTAGTTTTCTTCGTTTCCTTTTGAAAATTTAATAACGCAGTATTAGTAAAATTCTTTTAAAATATATATGCATTATAGAGTAATATAGTTATGATGACATGCAATAACTGTTATTGCTGTTGCTTTTTTTACACACTTTGAAAACCAATTTTATGAATAAAAAAGAAAAGAAAATTCACTTAAAAACATTCTGTTGCATTTCACTTTGTTTTTGTTGTAAATATACGGCGGCGGCGGTTATTAGTGGCACATTATTTCGTACAGACCGTGGATTCTTTACAAGTCGGTTTCACCATACAAAGCTGTACTGAATGACATATAATCCAAAGCTCCAGGGACTGCATTGGGACCCTTATAAGGTGGCATACGTTGAATACAGTACTCAGCTTGATCCGGCGGCAATTCACGTCTCAATTCATCAGGCAAGATATAAGGCTAAAAATAAAATTTGTATTAATAACCCATATTCCGAAAAAGAACTAGTAAGAAAATTATATTCGGCTGGGGCCGAATCTCGCATACCCACCGCCGTTAAAAACTTTGGCGCCCCATGCGTTTATTCATTCTCAAAAACTGACTGGGATAAGATTTATCTTTCATCTTTTATTTCATTAGAAGCTATTGTTAAGAAGAATTAATCTACCACGCCGCAACGTACATCATAATTAATTTAGAATTGACACATTTAGCTTTTCCCATTCCAATCTCCAAATACTTCCGAATTTTTCCACCATAGCACGACACATCTATCACAATTAGTTTAGAATTAACACACGTACCTTGCCGCTTTCTACTCTTCAAGTTCTTTTATTTCATACCCATGTCGCAGGTATTATTAAGAAAAAATTAATTCACCTGATGGCGGTCTCTACCCTATTCATTTTAAAATTAACCGATTTTTAGGCAGATACGACATCTTCGTTTGAGGAATGTTCAAGATAATTGTAAACCTTCTGTCCCTTGTTTGCCTTACGATAAATAAACATAGAACCTCAAAAAAGTATATAAAATAAAATTTAATCACTTGTAACTTTGTGTGAGCATGGCCCATTTTTTTCAATTTTTGTACGTAAAGGGTATGGCGTTTCGTAGCGTACGTGTTTTGACTTTTATAACTTCTGAATGACGAACAAGCGCGGAGAAATTTTACTTAAAAAAATGAAGTAGCGTTCAATTTACGCTTCGCCGCGGATTTCTGCTCTGAACAATTTGGCACATTTTCAACGCCATCCTGCGTGCAAAATCTTCCAATGTCTCTTGATTGTTGCAACCAAGAGAGTGCCAACAGCAAACACCACACAGACGGACAAACATGGCTTAATCAATTCAGAATTTCACGCTGAACAAGAATTTATCTACTCTATAGGGTCTCCGAAACCTCCTTTTAGGTGTTACATACATTATGAAAAAATATAAACTGAGTATGCCTGCATCCTTTAGCGGTGGGTATAAAAGGGAAAAGTACTTTTGCTTACCTTATCAGCGGCTAAAATTCTAAATGAGTCAATGACCTGTTCGGCGGTATCGGTGTCGGTGCTCTCACGTGTCATAAAATCTAAGAAAGCGTCAAAGTGTACGTAGCCAGTTGAATTGGGATCGACCACAGCCAATATACGTTGGAAATCCATTTCACCTTGGCGATCCTTACCGATCGAATAACCCAACGAAACTAGGCATGATTTAAATTCTTCGGGTGTCAAACGGCCAGTACGATTCTTGTCGAAATGATTGAAGCTAGAACGGAACTCGTTCAGTTGCTCCTGACTGATGCCCTTTGAGTCACGGGTCAAGATCTGATTTTCTACTTCATTAATGTTACGGTTAATTGAGGTCAACAGCTGTTCCCAACCCACGCGCAATGTCTCCATAGTGTAATTGGTATAACGATTTTCAAAGATCATCGACTCCTGTACGGCTTGGTGAATCTTCTCTAGCTCTTCAATATTAGGCTTATAGGCATATACGGCCTGTTCATATTCCTTGAGTCGATGCAATTGATCTTCCAATGAACCTTGCAAACCCATACCAATAGCCGTAACCGCATCCATTTGCCTTTCAATCCAGGGACCTACTACATTGGCTTTTTCGGCGAATTGACGGCGCAACATTTCGTTATTTTGCTGCTTGCGCAATTCATTAGCCAACGTTTGGTCACGTTGTGGTACTAACTGGCGAACATCACTCCATTTGCGTGTCATATCACTGGCTGTAAGTGTGGTATAAGGATTCTCTAAACCGCCTGGAATCTGGTGTTGTTTCACAATCGATTCTACTTCACGCACCAAATTCACGATCAGGTTAAATTCTTTGTCCGCTTCACCCAAAGTGGCCTTGAATTGATCGTGTGCTTGTATCAGGCCTTGGATTTCCTCCATGGTATGCACGATAAACATATCGACCAGATCTTCGCGTGTACCATCCAACCAATTATTGAATGGAGCAGCACGTTTAGCGAATTCGAGATGTAAAATATCAATCTTTTCGAGTATACGCTCAGCTTCATCCAAAGCCGTACGACGACGTTGGGTTAAAGCACCCAAGCGATCCCATTGATCGCAAATACGTTGACAGCGTGCATTCACCGAAATGCAGTCATGATATTCAAGAGTGCTGTGTGAAAGAATTGAAAAATAGGATAAAGTATAAAAAACAAAACAAACTTCTAAAATTTCAATTTGAAACAATGAAGGTAATGTATAGTGTATAGTGAAATCCTACCTAGCGAGCGACTATAAAACCTTTATACCGAAGAGGAATGATTGCGTTAACCGATCGACCATCGAAATGAAAGGACGTACTAATAGATTCTATATATTTAAATTACTTGCTTTATACAATGAACATAGTTCGTCAATTTTTTCATAGGCAACTTGTCAAGTTTTGGGCATAGGCAACTTGGATATTGATGCTTTTACGGCATAAGTTTCAGTTTTGCACAACCTATCGTTCAGCCTACATCAAAGTACAAAGACAGGAAAGACAGAATGAAGCATTATCGGATTTGTACGCTTCTTCGTTTATGATTGTTGCTCAAATCCCATTTTTATCGCCCAAAATAATTTTGCGGAGATAATCCGTCCTTTTGTAGCGCACTTAACAAATGGAAGCGAATGTTAATTGTACGATATTTGTGTTTTTTGATTAGCTTTCATTTTAGCTCCTTCCGCATCTTTCGAATTGTATGCAATTGAATCGAAATCGCTTGTTGACCTATTACTAACTGTACAGCAAGATCTTTTTGAACTTGGACTTTCGTTTAGTGAACTTTGAATTTCTTCATCCAACAACTCCCGCTAAACTACAGGACGTTCATCGTCCTCAACACTAAAATTTTTTGAACGAAATCTCTTAAACCACAATCTTACTGTTTCACAGCTTGCTGCATCATCATTACCAAGCCAACTTAACCATTTCAGCGACTGGAGTTACATCTTTTGCCAGTTTAAAAAAGAATAACAAGCAATCGCTTAAATGCTGCGTGTCTCTTTACGCTTCGTTATGCACTGGATGACAGTTAGTAAATGACTGACCGTACAAGCAGCGATGCTAAGCTATATATGGCCAGAATTTTGAAAAAACTGTATATGTCGTGCAGTTTTTATGAGGCAACCAATATCAATACGCGGAATTTTTTAGTACACCTAATAACTTAAGATTAATAATGAGAATGAAACTCGAATATGTGAATATTTTTACTTTAGTTCAATTGGCAACAAAGGCTATATCGAAATGGATAAATCGGAGCAATAATCTAAAAAGCAGGTCATGCACGAAGGAAATAATAGGGAGCTTAATCGTTTTTCGACACGACTAATTATTTCATTTGAAATAGATATATATACCCAGCTCTTTTTTTACACGGTTCTTTTATGTGATTTTAAAACTACACGGTTCACCAACAAGAACGAATATACTGTTTTAAACGAATATTTCGTTCTAGTACGAATCCCAAAAAATTATTTTTAATTCTCATTTTGACAGTGTCTTATAGAAACTTAGGTATACAGCAGCAAAATACAATTGAGGGAATACCGTGATCAGAAGTAGTGCGATTTATGCCCACACATCTTTTAATGACTTGGCCTACTGCTAATAAATGTAATTCTTCATTTAAACCAAACGCGACAGTCTTACTAGACATATCAGATATCTACTAATGATAGTCCAGTGCGTAATAAACGCACTGGACGCTTGTTATCAAGTAGCGACGTATGATCGTGACGTTGATATTTATTCTGAATTTCGATTTAAATATTTATATGCTCCACTTCTGGACTCAATTTTTACTCTACATTAGTTGGATTTTTTTTTTGTAATAAAAATAAATTGGTTTCGTTTTATAAATATTTAATGTGCATTTCATTATTACTTTTTTGCACGGTTTTTTGGAGAAATATCTACAATTTTGTAACGTTCTGACGATTTTTTAAAGCTGTGTTCAAGTTGCAAAACATATCCCTAAATCTACGATCTAGCGTATGTATAATTTTAGACGATTTTTTTTGTGCGATTTTTTTTACACAATCTGCGGCATAAAAAAAGAGTTGTACATGTATATATGAAATAAGATTGTTCAGCATTTTATATCCTGCCCGCTACGTCCGTAAGAGTGCATAATCCTCCATTAAACTACACTAATAACGTTTAATTTTACTACTTTTATGAAATTTAAAGTTTTCATTAAAATGGTATCGTGTAATTGATAATAAATGACATATGAATGATGTTATCTATATTCAAGCAAACCTCACACTGAGCACCATTAGAGTAGTATGTGAACGGAAAATTGGTAAGCATTTTTTGAAAGGAATTATTTTGAAATAATTATTATAAATAACAATACACATCTCTACGCACAAAATTCAGTTAACTCAAAATGAAAACTTACTTCAGTTCTTGAGCAATAGCAGCGATTTGCTCTACGCGATCCTGATGGGCAGCCAAATCCGATTCGAAAGCTTCGTGTTTTTTTTTCAAAGCCTTAAGCTCATTCAATTTGCATTGACGGAAATCTTGTGACTGTAGCATTTCCTCCTTACCACGTGTCCAATCTTCATGGGCGTCGGCCTACAAATTGTAAAAAAAAATGGATAAGATTTCATTCTTTTTGAGATATGAATTAATTGTTTATAACCTTATGTTTGAATTTCTGAGCCAAATGTTCTAAACGTTCCAAACGCATCGTCTCAGCCAATAGCCAATCTTCGAAAGCCTTTTCTGCCAATTCCAAACCTTTCCAAGCGTTAGCAATATCAGCTACGGTTTTACCTTCTGTGGGCAAATAAGCGGGACGATTGGATAGACGCAATTTGGTTTGCAGTGTATTAAAATTGGTTTCGAGTTTCGCCTTCTGTTCGACACGTGGTGGTTTATGTTTGCGACGATAGGTGCGATATTCTTCTAATTTCTTTTGCACACCTGCCAAAGAATTATCAGCTTGACGCGAATTTAACCAAGGCATAGTGCGGCGTATCCATTCCAGAAGCTAAATTTTTAATTTTTAATTTAGAAGATAAACGAACGTTTGTTTTTCTTTTTTTGTTTTTCTTTAAATAAGAAACTTTGTGCTTACATCGCTGGCAAGACGTTCGTACTCTTCCATGAGACGTTCATTCTCTTGATTGACTTTTAAGACTTTACAAATACGATTAGCAGCAGTTTCCGCCTAAATTGTTTAGGGTTTTTGAAGAAATCAAAAATAATTATATAAATTTTTTTATTACACTTCTGAGAGAAAGTATTTTTGACAAAATTTTGCTTAAGTTAATAAAGAAAAAAAAAAAAACAAAATTCACAAGGAATTGAATTTTAAAGGAACAGATTAGAAATAAAAACGTTTGTAAATAAAAACGTTACAGAAGCAAGCATTTAATTTCATATTTAATTTGTTAAACGTAACTCATTCAATAGCGAAAAGCCACAGTTGCAGAATGCAAGATCTAACAGTTATTGCAGCAAAATTTTTATCGGGGTCTATTATCAAACAACATTTAACTCCGCAATATTATTTTACTCTTCCTTATTACTTCGAAGATATCAAACAAATGGTCGGAATGTAACTTAAAATTGCGCAAAGGTAAAATGCACCCAAGTCCCAAGCCCCCGCTAAACCATTTTGATTTCAATGGAAGTTAAATCAGTGTTTTGGAAAACAAAGATAATACTCTTTCAAACTTGAAACAATTCATGTCTGCGCCTGCTGTTACGAATGTAAAATAATACGAAGACTAAACAATTTTACGGTGTTGAGAAAGTACTTTTAAGATTTTGAGTATTTTGGTGTAGAAATTTTGGAAGTGCAAAGAAAATTTTATTGTCTAACTGGAGTTTAACGAATTCTGATGTACTTGTAGCGGAAACAGTATGATACATAATTCTCGAATATTGTGAGCAATTCAAATCGATTTCTACGCGGTCATTAGTTCGCATTCAGAATAATATTCTACTTTTTGTTTGCCAAGGACTTATGCTCAATTTTTTCTTTAATTTTATCGTTTCTATTCTATATCCTTAGCTTTACCACATGGTATCTTTGGGTCACTTTTCAACTTAGAACGTAAATTTTCTGATGGCCGGCTTATAATATTTTATCTCTATTTAGAGGTTTTTTTTTATTCTTACAAGTGACTGAGTGATTCGTTATAAAACAGAAAACATGGAAAGATTAGACTTGAAAGCAAGTAACAAAATTGTGTTCCATCGTCGCCGGCATCCGTCACCTTTACTTTAAAAAAAAAAAAATTCTAAAATCACTAAATGTCAAATTCCACATAATAAATGTCATTCGATACGATAAGTATTTGGTTGAGCAAAAAAATTGCAAAATTATCATGAAAGGCATTATTATGGGAGGCGAGACTGGAATGTATGCGTACGACTTTCGAAACAACCGATCAATCGAGCGAATATCGTTCAAAAGGGGATCCAAAACTGAAAACAATGCGCTTAACAAAGAATATTATGATTTGAAAGAATGAACAAAAGAACAAAAATGTAAATTGACTTTATTTTTTGATCAAGGAGCATACAATTTGTAGAGTCTCTAAAGCGTTTTTCTGGATATTGCAAACATTTTCACATAATGAATATAATTACGTCCTTCTGTGATGAGTGTAAGTAAATAGAAAAAAAAAAAAAAAAAAAAACGGGAAAGTGAGGCAGCGCGGAAAACTGTGGGGAGAATTGTAGACAGAATTTAAAGTTTGGAAAGTTTAAAAGTCTGCTCCAAACGAGAATACAATAAAGAAATAACGTTTAAGAAGAAATATTAAAGGCGGGTTTTACATTAACGGCCTGTAACATGTCGCTCCGTCAGCTTGGAATCGTATTGAATTCTTCTGATTACTTCCAAAAAGAAACCCGCGGTATATTGAAGCATTGATAGAAGTTGACAAACAACGCTGTTAAGGGTCTTGAAGAAATACCGTGGTATGGATCGTACAACCCACAGATAATTCTGTAGATCTGTAACTTAACGCTTATGGATTGACACTGAAGCGTAAGTGAAGGTCGCTTGGCTTCAGTTCTTCAAAATAATCTCTTAGAAATACAGGTAAAGCTCCTTATTTATGCGAAAATCGATTACAATTACAGCAGGAAGACGACTACAACCTCAGAATGACGTTTAACCTAATTGTAATTCTACTTACGATTACAGCGGTATTTCTATTTCAATTTCGTAAGGACGGATAGCGTATACTCTAACGTTATTAAATGGAAGAAATGACAATTAAATGACGTATGGAAATATTTTACCGTAAGAATGGAATGGTTGTTGTTAAATTTTTATTTGAAGAGCTCTCTAAAGGAATATACCAACGCTAGATCATACAAATAGTTTATGATAGTAAGATCGTTAATTAACACAAATACAAATCGACTTCCAGACGCTATGAAAACATAGAGTTGGAAGCAATTACGAAGATAGCACGCGTTGACATTAGATGATTTAAAAGCTTCCTACTTGAAGAGCTACTAGTAGTGACGGTAACATAAGACAGGAATTAAAATTTCATTCTACGAATGCCATGATTTTTTCAACTTTTCACCAGGTAAGTCTACTAAATAAAATTGTAATTTTTTAAATCGATTTGAAATGAATAAGTTTAGCTTAGCATTTTTGAACTGATTCTCTTCGCCTGCTGAACGAATTCTGTTAATTTTACTCGACTTATTGCATAGCGAGATATAAAATTCGATACAAGTTGAATTACATTTTAGCGGAACGTGAAGTCTTCAGTACTTTTTGAAAAAAAAAAGAAAAAAAAAAAAAAACATCAACTAACCTTTTGGGCGCCACTGAAGCAATGATAGTATGATGATACATATGTCATGACGGCCCTTTCATCTGGCAAAGCGGTATTCTGCAGGTCTGTTATTCATGTTTGTTAGAAGCATAAAAGTAAACAACAATAAACAAACACATATGGATGTAATGTTAGTTTCAATAAAAGAAAAGAAAAAAAAAAAAAAAAAAAAAAAAAAAATTAAACTTTAACAAAAGCAATAGGAAACCATATAAAATCAGACACAATTGTGTTATATACTTGCATTTGCATAAGTAAAAATAGATACTTCATTCAAACATACATCCGAATGCTTATACATAATTATATGAAACAAAAAAAGAAAATTCGAAGAACACAGAACATAAAGAAAAAAAATTGTAAAATAAATATTTAAACCACGGGCGGCATGCAAGCGAAATGCATTCTTCAAACAAACAAGATTTTTTAGATAAACAAATTTTGACTTTTTCTTTTTTATCTTCTTAAAATTTTATGCATTAAGAGGAAGTTGTGGTCTTAGAAGGGGATGTAGATGTACATTATCGCCACCATTTGCGTTAGCAGTTTTTGTCAATACTTTTCGTCCTATCGCTTAATATAAATGAAAGAAGATGGAATTTTCTTACTTCACCCTAAGCTTTATATGTCAATCATACGTACGGACTGATTATTAGAAATCTGGAGACCTCCGACTCCACCATAAATTTATCATTAATTAATGGAGCTACAAGTGTCCATCTTTTTAAGTTGATCAGATTTTGCGAACACGACCATATTAACAGAACGAATACAGAGGGATGTGTGACAATCTTAAAAAACGTTATTCATACCAATTTACCTGCTAATGATATTATGATTATTATTATTATTATTATTATTATGTTATTTTTGTAAAACAATTCTTAATAGTTGCGTAATACGTAAGTGGTGGGCGGTAAAAATTCGATGCACGCCGAACACACCATCAACATCTTAGTTTAGTGTACTTTGTAAGTGTAACACTTGGAATGTTCGGCAATTGAATGAAAAAAGATATTCTTTTAAAGTTTATTGAAACCGCGCGAAATGCGAAGGAAAATGCTTTCGAGTTATTTACAGATTTGCTAATTTGTTCGTTACGCTTGAAATTGGGTCGTTTGTGCATACACACATGTATGAGTGTGTATGCAAAGATAAAGTATTGCAAATTGAACTCCTGTTGATTAATTTCTCAAAAAAAAAAATAAAAAAATAAAAAAAAATAAACCAATAAAATTTTATATATACTGATATATATATATATATATATAGAAAGTTTGTAAGCAGTGCCTTTGATATACGAGTACAAGTTTAATATATGCAAATTTATTTATATATATCGCAAACCCAAAAGACAGAGTTATGCACATAAATTTCTTTAAAGATGATGATGCATCAATTTATTCATTTATTCATTTATTTCATTTCATGAAGGTTAACTTTCTTGTTTGTTTGAAAATTTTGTTACTAAAAATAGTTACGAAAAAGCTCTTGAATCATTTTCTATATGTCTTTTATTTTCTTTCAGATGCAGGTGTAGACATGTTTTGTTATTCATTTGGTTTTTCTTTTGCTTTTCTTTTTAATTTAAAATAATTTGATTATCTATTGTTTTATTTATTTATTTTTTTTTCTTCTTTGGAAATATATATGCATAGGAAAAATTTCAATAACATAATTATATTAACGAAATAATTTTTATAAAAACTAGGAAAATTTTTCTGAAACGAAATAAGAGGTACTATCTATGTAGGCAATTCATGGCGAATTTTGAGTATCTGTCAACTAAAACCAAAATTAAAGAGGAAGATATTATAATAATGTGTAAAACAAGTTACAGATCCTTAATGCGTGCAAGACGGTGATGGTGAGAAAGAAGTGGGAAAAAAGGAAATAGAAATAGAAGTAGGGTAGTCTCAGTTTGGGAGGTGTGTACCTGATCGGTATGAATTTAGCGCGCTGGTAATTGAGCCCTGGCATGTCGATTGAATTAGTCACGCTTCTTTACTACTTGGCTACTGTCAGCAGCTTTCATGATCTATTCCTTCGATTTTCAACCTCTTGTTAAAACTTTTATATAAACTAAGAAATCATCATCTGAAGGGAATATATAAAAGTATGATATGTTTCGGAGGTCGACATTTGCAGTTAACGAATGCCGTGGTCTATTACTAGACTTACTATCTCTTAGATGAACAATTTGCAAATTTTCGTAAATTTATAGGTTTCGTACCATACTGATCGGCGGTGGCCTATATGTTTGCCATTTAGAGCGCATTTTGGATTTTTACTCTTCTCTTTTCTTTAACCCTATTTAAGATTTCTTCCATTAACACAAGGGGTTTAAGTGACATAAGACTCAACGCAGTCATAATATTTGAAATTTAATTTCCTACAATTTACAATCTACTAACGGTTTTTTTTTTCAATTTTTTTAATTAGGTTCATTTATCGTATTTCCAGGGAAAGTCTTCTTGCAATAGCCTGTCGAAACTTACATGGTCTAATATAGATTACCATCTCTTTTATCAAAGTTTAAATCTTTATCATACATAGATTATTGGTATGCATCAAAAGATTGTCCACTTATTAGTATTTAAGTTGCTAGTACACGTTTTGTTATGTGTTTACGAAAACGGTATGAAGCAACAAACTCAAGTCGAGTTGAAAGATGAGCACGGAAATATTTGAATTTGTGAAAAAAGTTTATAGTGTTGGTGGAGGACTTATCCTAAAAACATGTATTTGAAAGGCATTACCGATTTGAGATAGACCCGCCTTTCATTATACTGATCGATTCAAAATGACATTCGGAGGCACATTCTCAATCGATCCGTTTTGCTTTTTAATATTCAACCCAAAGGGCACAATTTTTGAGATATTTAAAGGAAATTGGCGGCACCAATGTGTGTTTTGGTTCCCAGGGACGAACGCTATTGAAAATAGTTCGGATTGCATCACTTTTTATATTTAATGGTAGGCCATAGCGCGCTATAATATATTTATCTGGTTTTTATTTATTTCTCCTTTTGTTTACATATTGAGTATGTATTGTATATAAAATAGAAGAACTATTAGAACTATTACGCAAATACCTTAATGCCTCATTTAATGTAAAGTTTAAAAGTCCGGCAAAATCCAATTTTGAACTAATATTAATACAAGTATATATTTTTGAGACCTTCTTCAAAGGGCATGGATTAAAAGTGAACTGAATGTATTCTTAGCTGGTCTCATATAACTACGAAGAAAGGACATAAGAGACTACGTTACCTTTTAGGCAAGCCTAGTCCAAAGCAAACCGCTAAGAGCTCATAACCGAATGTCACGCTTTATTAAATGAAATGAAATGAATAAACTGCGTATCTTATGATTTTCCATCTATCCGTGAAAGTCGTCGATTTCGCTGAGCCGTGGCTCTCTCGAATTATATATGCTTTGTGTGAATTATAATTTTTGCAATACTTTTCAATGTGCGTTTAGCGAAGAGAGCGCTAACTTTTGTCTCATTTTGATGAGTAGAAGACAGGAAAACGAACGAATCCTATATTATTGAGGTTTATTCATTTTAATCACAATCTAAATTTTTTAGTTACAAAACAAGATAAAGCAAATCAATCCTTCTTCCAAACTATATTATTATTCTTTGTAATTTCACAAAAAAAAAAAAAAAAAATGGTTATTGGGATCTTGAAAACATTTGAGATGTAACCAAGTGAAAATATGTAAAAACCACAGCCTATCCTCGCAATTGAAATTTTGTTTAGGATTTGTCTATTCAGTGTTCGTTTCGTTTCACTTCTTATCTATCTATCTAGAAAATTGAGACCATTGAGGCAGTTAATGCATTGTTGAGATTAAGGTAAAGGTTTTTTTCTTTTTAAAGAGAAAAATAGAAAGCGTAATATTTTTCAATTTAGATCAAAAAAAAAAAAAAAAATTGCCCTTTATATGCGTGCTAGAATAAAAGGATTAATTATGAGCGATTACTTAACGTTAAGATTAAATTAACGCCTTTTTGCCTTTACATACAAATGCCGGTTTGATAATTATTTTAGTTTATACATATACGCATAAACGTATATACGCACACGTACGCGTATACGTAAGAACGCGCGCTTAAGATAAGCTGCTTAGGAAGTTAATTTAATTATAAGAGTTATTCAACACACGGCCAGATATCGTAACGATAATGAGAGGTATTAAGAGATAAAGAAAAGCAGTATATAACGTATTGTATTGAAAAGTGTATTGAAATGTGAATTTTAGTCACATTGTAATTCGGGACGTAGGTGTATTGTCTTGTGGGTTCGGGTACATGCGTCACATTTCCAACCTGTTGAGCGCCCTGGAAGGCATGATAGTAGCATGAGACATACGTCATGATGGCACGTTCATCCGGTTTGGGTGTGTTGATCAAATCTATTATTTATATATGAATTTTATGATCATTTTATACAATTATTTAAGTAAATAAAGAAAAAAACATACATACGAATTTTATAAAAAATTTAAATATTTAAATAAATATTTCAAATAAAATAAAACATATAATTGTTTTCTACATTTTTTTTTTTTTTTTTTTTTTTTTTTTAATAAATCTACTTAAAGTAAACGGAAAATATATGTGATAAACATACCATCGGGATCCAACATGCGTGGAATATCAAGATATTTCTCAGCAACATCAAAGGCAGTGTTGAGATTTTCCAATGGATTGTCTTTGGAAAGTTTGGAATAATCAATCAAGTCGGGCCTATGGCGATGTATCAAAGCGCAGAAGGCTAAACCGTCCTATAAATTAGCGATACAAGTTAGGTATGTTATGTCATATGAAAAAATTCTTCTTTACATTAGAGTAGCATTTATAACTTTTTATTCTTTCTTTTATTTACCTTGAATGACAGATGGAAGTTCTGTACATTGACATTTTTGTAGGGGGCAGTTTTGCGTTGGCACCATAACAATAAGCCCTCCTTGGCGGTCATCTCTTCAACGGAGATGTCTTGTATGGCAAAACGTAAGATAATTGTCCAAATCATACCGAGCGTCATTTTCAGATTGCCATCAACAATTTCTTCAGCACCAATCGATACCAAATGAACACCCTTTGAAGCAATAAAATCCAAAGCCTTATTCACATTGGCAATCTTGTGGAAACGCATCTTGCCGCGATCGGGCTTAGGCAATGTCTCACCCGAGATAACCTCGAGTAACAGCATCAATTTCAAACCATTACGAAAGTCTTCTTCGATATTATCAATGGAGGTCCCAGCTTTACGCAAGTGACTGTTACACCAAGCAGTAAATGTCTGGAAGGCGAAAGAAATTTAAAAAACAAAAAAATTAAGAAAAATTCATACATATAGACAAATTGCTACATAAAACTTCTGCATCCAACATAATTGAAAAACAAGTGAAAACATTACGGTCGGTCACGGCCCATCATTAATTGTCCGACATGACCGTATTAGTTTATTCATACAACGGCATTTCAAAACAAATTGTTATGACCGAAGTTGTCGGAAAAGCATTTCATTCGTCCTTTAACCAAAACAATTCAGTAAACCAAATTTCATCAGAATATTTCGAAAATTGTCGCCTGTAGGTTGAACGCAAGAAAATAAGAAGGGCAAGCGGAGAGACAACCTTAGATCGATTCGGAAAGCGCCTCTGAATCGATCGGTATAATAAAAAGTTGGTCTAGTTCAAGTTGGTTGGTTCAAGTCCATCTGGCTGTTGCATGTATTCGCACCGACTTCATATACCCCTCTGCCACAAGTGGTGCAGAGTATAATAACGGGCTCCACTCTTTGTATAATTTATAGTCTCTGAATTATCAAAATATAGATACGATACGTCTTTGGTTCACCATCTTATCTGGCAAACGGAATAATTCTCTTGCGAAAGTTCAACATGGTCAATATCTGTTGTAACTTCCTTTTTGGTGGGATTAAAATTTTTGATTACAGCAGATTAGTGGTCAGCTTATATCCACTCTCAAATGTTGATTTGCAAAATTTACTACTAATGTGGCACTTCGCTGACATTATTAACCACAAAAGTCAAGCTAACATTGCTCGTACTTTTTTTTTTTTTTTCTTCCAGGCTACAAGAAACAAGCGTTGCTCTTTGCGTATTTGCAACGTGTTAAATAGGAAAACGTTTTTCGAGACGGCTTTTCATCTTTACTTTAGTCTTAGACCGCAATAGAAAACACATAGTCTTACGTTCCTAAGCAGAAATATATGCTGAATGAAAATCACGTGTGCAGGATTTGCACAAGCACAGGAAGTTTGCATTTCAATGGAGGCATTTTCTCTTTATTTACTACATTTTTTTTTTTTCAATACGACCACCCACTTACGAAACGTTTCTTATCCGTGGTAAAGAAGTGACGAAAGAGAATGAGGTAGGGCGGCGGTGGCTGCATCCTAATGAGTGTGTTGCGTCCAATCCCTAAGTGTTACGCCTTCACCGATTTAGCCCCCACCATAAATACGACCAATTACGGCCGAACGTCACTTGGAATACGAGGCTGCAAGCACTACTAACTTGGCAGATTTGATTCTTACTTGCTCGGCTACTATTTGGGTTTTTTTAACAAGTTCGCTAACTGTCGATAAGATGGCACATGTGCCACAGGGCCCAACAGAACATATACTCAGTTTCCGATTGGTATTTAAAATGACATTCACAAAGTTTATGGGTATTGTGTTCTGGAATATATATGGGACCGTTCATATTGACAAATTACGATTGGAATATTAAGAATATTAAGGTTCTATATTTAAAAGTATGGGATACTTTCTGGCATTGCAATCGGTTACCGACCGTAAAAGAAAATAATATATATTCTTGTTATGGTTGTTTTGATCGTAATTGATTTGAATCACAAGAGGACGCATCGATATCAGCTTTGTCACACAACAGGGTTGTTTACATCCACAAATCACATAGAAAAGTGTACCTTGTGATTTTTCTGATCTCTGTGATGTCTCTCAACATATGGCGGTGGCGATAGTTTACAGAGAAAAGCGTATTTTCTATCTTCACCCGCAAATTAAGAATAAGAAATTGATACTTGAGGAGATTATACTATGCTAGAACTAGTATCTTTGCATTGGCTGGCATTTGTCTCACTGACGTTTAAACTTGTAAACAAATCTTCTTAAATTCTATATCTAGTAAGAAGAAATGAGCAAAAAAGATATATATATATATATATATATATATATATATATATATTGTATAGGCTATTTCTTTCCGTTGAAATTTAGATAAATTTATTTTTCATTTAAAAGAAAACCGATTTTACGATACCCCTTTCACTCTAAGTCTTATTTGAATCAAATTGTTGTCTAACTGACAGAATAACTAATAAGAACAATCATATGATTAATAAAATGAAACAAGAAAAATTCGGGGAATTTGTGTATGGGAAAAGATGTTTATCTATAACAATTAAGATAATTGAATTCGGATGCGACTGGGTCTTTCATACCCATCACCGTTAGACTAAGCGCGACTAAAAACATAATGGAAAGAAGTAAGAAAATTATATACCGAATCTTTTATACTCATCACCGTGATCCAAAAAAAAAAAAAAAAAAAAGAAGAAAAGAACTAAATTGGGTGGGCGCAGCTGATTTTTTCTATATTCAAAATAAAAATCGAAATTCATATGATGAGTTCTCTATGAATTGCAAGTGGAAAGCACGGAAAACGAAGGAGTTCACAGTTTTGACATATTGGCGTGTTCGCGTTGTAGGCAGGTTCTTAAAATATTTGGATGATTTTGAAATTCTTTTGCAAGTTTGTAAGCGATATCTTAGTTAAATAGAGAATGTTTGCAAAGATACGACACAGTTGCGAAAATGAGTAGACGGACAGATAAAGAAACGGACATGCTGGTACAGGATCGCCCGTAGTATTCACATCCAAGACAAATTTTTATGGATTTATCTGTTATAGTTTACAACCAATCTTTCATTTCTTTCGAAAAACAGAGGTGCCCTCACTTTACGTAGAGCTGTAAGTGTGTCCTACGACCGAATTGGCCCATTTTCAGTACCAAACTGCATGTAAGAACTTGCAATGTTTCTGCCAAATTTTTGCTTAATTTTTCGCGACCAGGAGAATGCTTACAACAGACATTACAAAGACGGACAGACGGACATGCCTAAATCAATTTAGAACATATATACTGTGTGGAGTCTCTGACGCCTCCTTCTGAGCGTTGCAAACGTTTTGACAAAATGAATATATCCTTCATGCGTCGGTGATGGGTATAGTAAACAGTTTAAATTCTAGGTAGGTTCTAGCGCCCGTTAAACAATCTTCCTGTTATATTAACGGTCCTAATACACATCAACAATCTGATGAACTTACTGTGTTCTTATCGTATCTTTTCATATATTCTATGCATTTGTTGTTGAAATGCGAGTGTTGATAAAAATGAAACTAGCATTCTTCAACCAAGTTTGTGTTCATTTAAAAGGGATGCCACTTCCCTACAACGAGTAAAATTAAAAAAAATATATATAACTTAAAATTTCTCGGTAATTTCGCGTCTACTTTCAATTAAACGTAATTTGAATAGTTTTTTGCACGCGAAGACAAACTATGTGCTAGTGAAGCCTCGTGCATGCCGACTTGCTACATGGAACTACATGGAGCTTTAAAGCTCCTTTATTCGGAATTAAACTGGATAATTTTTTTTTTTTTTTTTTTTTTTTTGAGGGGGAAATTTACCTCATACTTAATATAAGGCATTTTGTTTTTCATCCACGTGACCACGAAACAAATGTGTTTATATTGTTTAAAATTTGAATTAAATTCATTGAGTTACATGAAATCATTACACAAGTGCAATTTAAGATCTATTTTATTAAAAGTATTATCTAAATATAGATATATAGATATATAGATTTAAATTTGGATTATTAATGCACTTCACTAATCTTTTAGAAGACTTGTAAATCCTTATTCCATGTTAATATGATTTTTCCCAGCGATTTTGCAATCACTTAGACGACTATTGAATTTTTGAGGCGGAACATATTGTATTGTATGCGCGCGTGCCCGCACACTATTCTGACGGATCTATGTGTGTACGCTCAAATGCAAATATCGAAATGTATGCGAAGAATAAGTTGTTCGGTCTGCTTATTCATTACCCAACAACAGCCGGTAGTTAAAAACGCATTCGCATTTCAAAACCAGTAGACTTAAAAAAAAGCAACAAAACAAAAAAAGAAAAGTAAAAAAACAAAACAAAACAAAACAAAAAAAAAAAGAGTGGCGTGTGCGCACGAGCCTTATAAAGCTTATAAGTGATAGCGCGACACTGTCATCTAAGGCATACGACCTCAAATGTAAATCTGACGTAGTTTGTATACAACTAACTGCTAACTCACATAGAACCATAGTCAGAGTGCACAGTTACGCAGTACATTATATTATCAAACTTAAGCTGTACTATCTGCGCATGCTGCGGCGTCTAAGATGCATTTAAAGCTGCCACATGCAGTTATATTCAATTTAGAATTCTGTTATGTATGCAGGCAGCAATGAGAACAACAACAGCAACAGTAACAATATTAACTACTGCTACACGGAGAAAAAAAAAGAAGAAAAAAGGAGGGCAAAGCAACTCTACTGGTTTTATTTGATTCTTTCTTTTATACGAAACCAGTTCATATAACAGAAATTTCTGTGTTCTTGTAAAGAACAAAAAAAAAAAAAGAAAAAAAAAAAACCGGCTTTTCTTTTACCCAACTCGGTTTTATCGTGTAACTGTGAATGCGATCAACATACCTATATTCAAGTAAAAGAACACATCATCGGAGTAACCTAACTGATTACGGGCTGCTGCATTTTAACTCAATGCTCCTCAAGTTTCTTATTCAATGGGCGGAAGGTGCACATTTTTTGGATGCTCTATAGTAGTAACAGTAGTAACACCATCTGTGGGAATAACTGTATATAACTCTTGACTCGATTCGGCTGCGCAGTAAATGAATCATGTTAATCACTTTCCAAGTCTGGCTTTTCTTGCATTTTTCATACATTAATTCCATAAACATATATTTTAATATGTAAATATATATATATATATATATATATATGCAATTTGCTTTTCTTTTGTTTAAATCACACATTCAATAATGATATTACTTCATATATATAAAGTGCATTGTCAAGCTGCTGCCGCATAGTTTCACGTTATTCAAAACAAGGGCGCGTTATAATAAATTCATAAATAAATTTATTAGTATAACTGCATACGTTTGTTTGGTTTATTAATTTT